ACCTCAGATTGAGCTGCATGGCTGCTGCATCTTCCTCAGATTCACAAGACTTGCATCGAATGCCACCGGTATACGTTAGGTAGGTACCTAGGTACGTATAGTGGATCAGGGCCAGAAATGGTATCGTATATCAGTCTCTGAGATGTTTCGCACCCCGTGCTAACTGCTCATAGTTCCACCGAAAGAACTCGCGCGTCGAGTCTGGTTCGCCTCCTGTGTCGGACAGCCGTACCTCATCTTTAAGTTGCACGATTCCCTTCTCCGTGAGGAAGAAAGGCCCTAAACCCACGTTTGTTGACGACGGGGGTTAGCGACGCGAAGGCCAAGGGACCGCTTGGTTTGACTCTCCTGTACTCACCATCAGGTCCACATGTCGACTTGATCTTTGTTCACGGTCTAGGCGGAGGCTCGAGAAAGACGTGGAGCAAAACGCCTCTGCTATCGCATTACTGGCCTCAAGAATGGCTGCCCAGGGGACCCGGCCTTCAAGAATGTGCGCATCTTCACGTATGGATACGCCTCGGATTACCTTTCTGGGAAAGGAGACTTTCTGAACGTCCACCACATCGGCAAATCCTTTCTTGGGGATGTCAGCTCGTCTCCGTATCTCGCCCCGTCGCCGACAAGTATAATCTTTGTTGGGCATAGCATGGGCGGCCTTGTCATCAAGAAGGCAATGAACTTGCCAAAGCAGTCCTTGTATGGACAAGTTGCGCGGTTCGACCGATGACGGTTAGCGAGCTCAGCGGTGCGCCAACTCTGGGCATTGAGGACACATTTCCGAGATCGGAATAGAGCATGTCCTCGCTGTGTGGGCAGCTGGTGGCCGTGGACAGGTATGGGAAGGTTCAAATGGTGCATGGCACCGCCCGAGAGTTCCTTCTCAGAGACAGTCTCGATCCCGAGTTCGCCGTAGAGAAGACCGTGGCCCACACGCGAATTGCGAAAGGATGCTTCAAATATCTGATCGGAGAGGAAATGAAACTTCCACGGACTAGCCGACGACGTACGGCGCCCATGAGCAAGGCAACCGATTTTGCTTTCTACGCATGCACTGCATTTTCATACCACCTCTCCAGGGCGGATCCGCGGACCAAAGAGCTGTTCGACCTCGTTGGTCAATTCTTGAACTCAAACATCCTCACTTGGATCGAATCCCTCGCCCACTCTGCGGGCGTTGGCCAGCTCATCAGTGCCTCGAGACATCTCGAGATTTACTACGCGGCCTGTTGCTTGGAAACATCGAAGCATCACCCGGTGCTGCTAGCACTTAAACATTGGACTGCGAATCTGACCCTTATTGCTGCCAAGTTTGGTAACGCGCTCAAGACATGCCCGTCTGCCATATTCCGCTGATACCACCGTTGTGTCCTGCTGAGTCCATGGTAAACAGAATCGGCAATCGACGCCGAACTTTGACTATCCTAGGAGCCAAAAGTGAGCAATGGGACGACAGGATATCTTATATCGATTTCCGTGAGAGCCGTCCAAGTGCCTTGTGCTACGGCGACAATTTCATGGCCGTCAGTTTCCCAACCGGCACCATTGTGGTGTACGATGCTACGTCATACCACGAGCATCGAGTTTTGGAGCACGGGGAATCTGTCAAGTTCATAAGATTTAAGTGTAAGACCGACATTGTTGTAACATGCGGTTTAAAGATGACGAAGGTGTGGAACACGAGTACTGGAGAAGTTATCCACAGCCTTTTAAGCCCGTCCGACCCGCTTGACATACAGTTCCACGACAACTTGCTTTTGGTGGCAGGCCAAGGGAATTATATAGCGGTTTGGGATCTGGAAGATGGCGCGCGGCCCCGACCGGATAGGGGGTGGACCGACTCCTCAGAGCTGGGGAGTTCCCCCATGCGACCATGTCCCTCAGCAGCCAGTATATGCTCTAGTCAAGGGATGGTCTCAGTTGTGTACCCGGGACAACCCAGAATGTTTTGGGACCTCGTCGAGGACGCCTACTACGGAAGCTGCGGGAAGAAACAGCCTAACGGGGAAACCAGTTGTCATGTCGCCGTCGCGGCCCGCGCCTTCAACCCGGATCCAAACAGTGGTTTGATAGCTGTGGCTTACCAAGACGGTGATCTAGTCCCTTTGGACCCGTTCGCCGACACGCAGTCAGAATGCATCCGCGCAAACTGTCAGACTCTCGCAGCGAGCCCTGACGGCCGCTTCCTCGCTGCAGGTGGTGGAGGTGGGACGATCCATGTCTATGCATTCGACACATTGTAGCTGCTCTACCAGGTTAAGTCCAGCAATTCGTACATCACACAGCTCAGCTTCGCCAAAGACAGCTTGCAAATTGCAGATATTTGCGGTACGCAGTGCAGCTGTTGGGAGCCGGCCGCTCTGCTGCGATATTCTTTGGACGACAACGACAGTAGCACTGGGCCTATTATGCCGGCGTCGATCGTCGACACCGTCGTCCTGGAGCCCAGGGCCAGAATCACAGTGATGGCCGTCCACCCCACGGGCGAAGTTATCTTCTCCGGACGACACGACGGAGCAGTTTCAATGCACTGCCGCAAGACCGCGGCGTGCTTGCGGACGCTGTACACCCACAAGACGTCCATCTGCATTTTGGTGTGGTGTCGGCTTCAAGAAGCCTTGCTGAGCGTCGACTACGCCAACCGGGTCTTTATGTATAAAGTGCAGACTCCACAGGAACCAAGCCAGGACTGGTCCAATGCCGCAGAGCCAGTCATGGCATTCCAATCTGATCTCCAGTCAGATGACAACGCTATCGTTAGTGTCCTGGTCGGCGAAGAAGCGGGCAGGTTCATGGTGTCGACGCGCGAGTCGGCCCACCTGTTCAATCTCGACGACGGTTCTCACGAAGCAGAACAGACTTGTGACGAGGGAAGCAATCGCATATGGTTCCCCCACCCGACGTCACCATTGCATCTACTCTACTTCACCGGGCTGACGACAGTCCGTATATACCGCTGGACTGACTGGGCCGAGACTGGATGTCTTTTGCTGCCAGCGCCCGTTAACAACGCGACGACACCCTGGTGGCTCAAAAACTTGGCTACGTACTCGTGCGGTGGCCTGGAGTATAGAATTCTACTTGAGCTATCGGACGGCGAAGGGTCGAGCAAAACCAACCGTTTCATGATTTTGAACAAGCCCCCCACCAGTACTATCTTCATGACCACCGAAAATGAGACCAGCAGCAGCTCTGATCTACAGCAACAACCTGTTGACAACGGAAAAGGTAAAGAGGTGGTCATGAGGGCCATGCCATGCCTGACTGCCCTCTACAAAAACGAAATCACAGCTCTGTCGCGTAATATTGCGCATATAATTGGGATTGTCTCGAACACGGGAAAACTTGTCTTTCTCGACCACTCCTCTTGGGTATGCTCTGCGGACCTCCAGGCGCTTGAGGCTGTAAACCAGGGCGTCGACCCGCGCGCTGATGGCGACATATCGATGCAATATCAGGCATTTCTTCGTGCCGTATGATTGGTTTGCTGGGCGGAAAGACTTCATCTGTGGCCTGGCACAGAAAGATATTGTGTTTGCTCGAGGGGGCGATCTGGTAGTCGTCAGGGGGTGGCTCGAGCACGCTGAGCAGGTTGGGAAGAGAATAAAAGTGATGAATAGATGAGCCAGGCCTTCCAAAGTAAGGTACCTAGTCACAACAAGCTTTTAGTCCTACACGAGTTGTACATACAAGGAGGTACTTGGAGGTGGTCAGAGCGCTTCATTTCATCTCAAAGGTGAAGTCCCAACCATCCAATCCCGCCGGCTGTAGAGAAAAGGGGTCGTCGAACTCCTCTTTGAGTTTTTACACCGTCCAGAATACTGTGAAGCAAGGCAACCAACCCCGCAGCGCATTCCCGACATCTCGACTGAAGCACTGAGGTTCGTCGGTCTCTAGCAGTTCGCTGTCTCCCCGGACCTCCCTCTCTTTGTCTTTTTCTCAAGATCCTAGACTCACATAAAGAAGGCTTGCGTGTGTTTCCACCATGGGTGCCCACCAAACTACCCAACCTTCTCGCCGGGAGATCACGAGGCCTTCATGGAATACGCCCTTGAGCAGGCGCAAAAGTCACCACCGGCGACCAACAAATTCTGCGTCGGCGCTTGTCTCGTCAACGGCGACAAGGGCGAAGTCCTGTCGACCGGCTACTCGCTCGAATTTCCGCGGGACTACTACCGTGGAGACCCGGGAACGACGCACGCGGAGCAGTGGTGCTTCATCAAGATGGCGGCCAAGCACGACCTCCCGGAGCAACGAATTGGCGAGGTCCTGCCGCCCAACACGGTGCTCTACACGACCATGGAGCCGTGCAACGCACGGCTCAGCGGCAACATGACGTGCGTGACGAGGATTTTGAGACTTGACGGCGCCATCAAGACGGTCTACGTCGGCATCAAGGAGCCCGGGACGTTCATTGAGCACAATGATGGACAGGAGAGGCTTGAGGCCAACGGTGTCAAGGTTGAGTTTCCGGTGGAGCATCTACGGGACAAGATCACCAAGATCTCTCTCGCCGGTCACGATTAGATGAGATCGTAACTATACAAAGACATGAGAGTATAATAATGTATCGAGCTGTCTTCTAATTACTCTGGAGTTACCTCCTGGCATGCAACGAAGAGACCAAAACAGCGTGCAGAGACAGCTAATACTTGAACCTCTCATTGAATATGACATTTCGGATATATATATATATATATATAACGTTATTTAGTTACGATATTAAACCTTGATGTTTGTGTTTGCTTTAGCAATGTCTTCACCAATTCGTCCTACGACGACCAAGTACGCTTCTGGTTACAAAAAAGACGGCACTTCCAACAAGCCTAGAGTTATTTGAGGAAGTACCTAGTGACTCAAAAGTCAATTGAATGTTAAAAGTAAAGATTCTAGGAAATGAAGTCAGTCATACCACATTGCTTACAGCGTAAGCCGTACTTCAGCAGAACAATCATAGTAAGGGTCAAAGCATCAACGATCCAATCAGGACTGGGCGTGTCGGGCTGTTGGTCTAGAGGTATGATTCTCGCTTTGGGGAAGTTGGTAAAACCCTCTTTCTTTGCGAGAGGTCCCGGGTTCAATCCCCGGACAGCCCCATTTTTTGGTCTTCTAACAAACAGCCCGTGCTACAAAACCAGAAAGGAAAGATCTTCTGAGCAGTTAAACGAAATGTTGCTTGTTGGAGGCTTGGAGGCTGGGTTTTTTATGTACCGGTACTGATATTATTAAAAGGGCGGTGGTTCAACCTCGTTCATCAACCTCAAGCTGAGGTAGTAGTTGGACAAAGTCATGTGCCATTTGGAGCTTTATACCCCACGTCTTGTGCTCGCATTCCTCGGATCGGAAATCTGATTCATAATGTCGGTCTAAATGCTACCATTCATTCTACAGCCAGTCATTGACCTGCATTAAACTGACTGGAACCAGAGTGAGAGGCTTTACCAGGCAGGGCCCTTGGAAACTTACCCACCTCAGCGTCTACAACACTTTGATATGGCAGGTTATAAAGCCCCAGCAGTCAAGCCCGGCCAGAGCCTTATTTGCATGTATTAATGCAGGTCGATATTCGTCTGCTGGTCGCATTCCTCGGATTTCCTACGCCACCAACCCGTATGTCTGTCCAAACCCGTGTAAGTTCAGCCAATCACCGGACCTTACTGAACCGGACTGTGAAACAAACTGACAGCGAGGTTGATCTTTGCCAAGAGATACATTTACAGCAAAACCAACCCGTTCATCTTTTCCTTGGCACAGTCGCAGACAACGACTACCCTCAGCCTTCAACCTGACCGGCGACATTACGACCTTTGCTTGACCTGAGGACACATACGCGTCGACATTCGCAACGAACCCGACTGATGATGCCTCACTTCCTATCTCCCCCCTCTCACCGCGAGAGGGGGAGAGTAAAGAGAAATTACATTCTCTTCATCTCTTCATCTCTTCATCAAACGATATGATCTATAGATACGAAGAAAGAAAAAGAGATATATATCTTCAACATGTCGACAATGTAGTCAAGTCCTTTTCTCTGTTGTGATCAAGACAAATCGATTACTTGCTCCTTCGATACAAAACCATCTCTCTTCCTGGTTTCATTTACTCGACGGACCAGAAAAATAAACCACCATCATCAAACCCAAGACTATTCAACAAACAACTCGATACCAAAAAGCCGGATCAATAACCTCTGACGAATCAGATCACACCCACCCTCGTACACAGAGCAACGAAAGAGAACTGAACGATGGCGGTCGAGTCGATGACAGAAAGAACAGAATCGATATCCGTATGGATGTACAACCCCTCGTTCGCACTGGCCGTGCTGGCCAGCATCCTTTATGGGTTCTCGTTTCTGGCCATCTTCTATCTGACCGTTATCAAGTATAGGTCGTGGTATTTTACTTCTGTCGTCGCGGGCGCGGCCATCGAGGTGGTCGGGTACGGGATGCGCTGCTATTCCGTCCGGCGGCCGACCGATGTTGTATGCGTCTTCTTCATTCTTCACATCTTACTTCTCATTTCCATCTCGTCATCTTTCATTTTCGTTTCTCATGCCGTGCCATAACTATCTGGCCTCGATTTCTTTCCCAACAAAATGTAGGGCCCGTTCGTCGCAACGCTCTCCCTCATCGTGCTCGCCCCCGTCTTTGTAACAGCAGGCAACTATCTTCTTATCGGCCGCCTGATACAAGCCATCCTGCCGCCCACCCGGCACCGCATCATCGTGCACGCGCGTCTTCGTCGGGTGCGATATCGTTTCGTTCCTGGTGCAGTGCGCCGGTTCCGGCGTCGCGAGCTCGAAAAATTGGACCGGTCCGACCGAAAAAATCGGCGTCAACATCTTGATCGCCGGCTTGGGCTTCCAGGTGGTCACTTTTGTCGCTTTCATGGCAATCTTTGGGCGGTTCCATTTCCTGGCCAGGCGAGAGGCGACGGCCGCGGCGCCAAGGGGATGGCAGAAGCTCGTTCGTGCTGTGTATGTCTCGTCATTGTCGATTCTGGTATGTTGTTGCATTTCAAACTGAATGGAGCGGATATAAGAGAGGTTACTGAACACGAGAGATAAACAGATTCGGTGCATTTACCGAGTGGCCGAGTTTGCCGAGGGCGTGGATGGGTATCCTTTTAGGCAGGAGTGGTTGTTCTGGGTCTTCGAGGCTGCGCCGATGCTGGTGGCCATATCGAATTTTTGCGTTTTTCATCCAGGCGCATTCCTCGGTCGTCGTGGTGGCGGTGGGAAGCGGCGGGTATTATCGAACGAGGAGGATGGCGCGGAGATGACCTCGAGTGCCGTGCGCAGCCGCCATATCTACCGAGGCTTGACGTGAGATCTGCAAGTTGCCAATATACGGGGGCTCCGCGGTCTGCATGTACCTAGGCACAACTACGCGAGCCAGTGGCGCTGCGAGGAGGAGGTGGAGGAAGTGATGAAGTTGATGATGACGCGAGGCCTCATTTTGGCGATTTCATGATCCGTCCAAATCTCTTTGGCCACTCTATATAGCTCTGGTATTCCTCTGGCAGCGTATCGACAAGCTGGTCCAGCCAGGCAATGCAGACCCTTTTTCGGAAGGCGAAGCGCTCACCTGCGCTACCCAGCGCCAGTTCCCCGACAGCGTACTCGATGAGCATGAAGTGAATCAAGAGCAGCTGCGCCGGATAGTTAGTGGGATTCGCGAATGCCGCAAACTCCTCGTTGCTCGCTCCGGCAATGAGATCATATTGTGCGGTGAACTGGGCAAATGCTAGATTGCACAAAGACAAGATGTTAGAGCACCGCTGGCTGGCATAGAAAAAGCAATCACTAACCTTCTACGACAGACGTCCTTGCCAGCTTAGTGATACGCTCGGTAGACGCAAGGAAATGGACCTCTATGGGATTCGAGACAAGCGGGCCAAGGGCTCGAAGAGACAGGATGAACTCGTCAAACAGGGCCTCCTCGGCGGCCGTGAGGTTGAGCGCACCGGGGGCTACCAGCGCCCGTATGCTACTGGTGTAACCGTAGCTGGTGAAGGATCCGAACATGGATTCCTCGAAGCTCTGCGGCATGGACGTCTCGGCGATCACATGACAGCCCCGAATCATGGACAGGAACTCGTTCATACCGTCGGGCATGCACGACGCCTGGAACGCCAGGGCCAAGATGGCGGCGAACCGAGCATCCCCCTCGGCCAGGGAGGAGCACGGGTTGCTGAGAGATTTGTTGAGCGACTGTATGGCTTTCACGCGATGAGACAGTGCCTGCGACTTGTAGTCGGCACCGTATAAGCTCAGATGTGAAGCTGCCAACCCCAGCATAGCGTGTACTAAATAATCAAACTGCACCGGCGGTTTAGTATATACTCTTTCTCAAAGTAAGGAAACTGACCTCATGAGACAAGGCGGCCACGTCGGCCCATATATCAGCCCTCTGTATGGGCAGGGGCGGGTAAGCGGTGACGACAAAATGGTGGAAGAAGCGCAGGTCATCCATGGTGAACATGATCGGGGTCGGGATGGACTGTACGGTGGCAGCCGGTGATGATGACACCCTCCTTATTAGAGATTGGGGTTGTTGTGGCTCAGGGTACTCGCAGACCAGGCCGATGCGAGTACAGTTGACGCACTTGGGGTGATTCTCTTGGCATTTCACCTTCCTGGCCTTGCAGCTGAAGCAACCGCGACGCGACTTTGTATGACCCCTTCGGGGGATCGGTCTGCGCCGGACTCTGACGGCCAGCTCGCCCCCGGATGAAGCATCGGGAGATGCCGTGTCCAACCTGGATCCGTGGCCGGAGGAAGAAGCGGCATCTCGATCCATTTTGTCGTGATATTTGATTTTTCTATATTTGACAGAAACGGGTTTGAACGGTTGACGTTGAAGCTGTTGTCAGCTTTGTGAAACCCGAGTACGGAGTAATCCTTTTCGCAAGGCGGGCGGTATTTGGTCCGAGGCACGGCCCATGGCTCCGAGCTTCGAGGTCCAATCCGTCTCTCTGCTGCTTACGATATCTTCACCAAAGCTAGGCAGGCACCCTTGTGCAGATCAACCAGTTGGACCTTAGGATGTTGCAACTCATTCATAAAACTCGGCATCAGCAGTATGTATCCTCATGGCGACTAATTTGTCTACAGTTAGCATGCATATAGGTTGGTAACAAGGAAATCTCTCGACTTCATTCGTTCTCAGAGCCTGTTCTCAGACGGACGACGGAGGCAATCTGGGCTTCAACAGCTGACATTTTGGTATGCACCACCCCCTTTTGCCAAGACGCGTTAGTTGAAGCTTGAAGCTTAGATGAACGTGGAAGCGTGAGAGGTTGGGTCACCCCAGAATGGCCCGCTATCCCCAGCTCCATGCGGCCACCGCCGGCGTTAGAGTAAGCTCGGCACGATCCTAAAGCCCTAAACCTTGCTTGGCTCCAGTGAACAGACGTCATCTTTTTAGGAGCAGCTGCGACCACGCTAGCGGGACCGCCTTGTCTCGGTAAAATGCAGTTCCTCTTTCGTCGCCATGAAAATTGCGAGGCAGCAAATCAGACACGCCAAGTAACTTGAGTCGGCATCGCTGCGACTTATTAAAATGGTACCGGTGCCCGACTTAAAATCGAATGGATCCCCTCCGGAGCCGAGTCTTCCTGGGTGACCTGACTTGAGTGACCTTGTCCGTTTTGTCCCCCTCATCGTCTTCATCTCATCCTAGCTAAATAAGTGAACCTGAACGACCCTTAGGTGGTCTTGGTCAGCCCCAAAACTAGGTGGTCACCAGGCAGTTCCCGTCTGATATTACGTATATTGAGCCACGGACCAAACCACCTTTGGGAAGCCAGGAAGGCACTACACAGACACCGGGCTGCCGACTACTACCACCTCGCGCGCGGGTCTCCTCGGCTCTCCAACAACCCCCGAACTTCGTCATCAACTTCCAGGGACAGAAGACTTTTGTCTATAGCCCAGGCGCATCCAGCTCAAAGCCAATTGACATCAACAAATTACTTCACATAAACACAAAATGGCCAGCCTCACAGGCATTATGCCCCTGCGCATTGTCCAAAAGCCGCCCTTCACAGTCGAAGCCCCAAACTGCACTCCCGTCCAAGGCGAAACCATCCC